CAAACTTTCTGAAGTACTCATATATTCCACAAACTTTTACACTTGGAAATAATTTCACATTTTGGTTCACAGGCAGGATAGGTTGTCTACCTTTCATAGGTAAGAAAACTAAAACTCAGAGATTAAGGCCACAGCTATAAAGTAGTCAAGCTGAAAGTTCTAGTACCTAGTTCAGTCCCTGATTCATAACAGGCAATCAATATATTTAACAAGTAATAAGTGAATGAATGAACATGGAAGCCAGATCTTACTTCTAAAGGCCAGTCCTCTTCCCCCCGCTAGATCACCATCTCTCATGTTAGGTAGTTGTTGGAACTGACAAGTCTAGCTCCAAAAAGCGTTTAATAATCATGTCCCATTTATTTTCCTAGCTCCGAAGTTGTGGTATTGACACCATTCTCAGAACACAGTGGTCTTCAGAAATCTTCCCAGTGAATCCTCCAAGGTTCTTACCAAGTTCCAGAACGGCTCAAAGAACACCACATATCAAGGAGAATGGCTGAAACAAAGGGCCTTGTCTAAAGACCCACAAGGCTAAAAGGGGGAAAGAGGACTCAGTACTAATTCCAGATGGGTAAAAAAAAACACAGTAATGTCAGTGGAAAATGAGAAATGGTAGTCCGGCCTCCTTTCAAGGGCCTGAATTACTGAAGTCTGATGGTGGGCATTTAGCCCACAAGATGAGTGGGTAGCAGGGATTTCTGCACTGAATGCCAACTTCTAGTATACATGCTCACAGAAATGGGGTGGTTAACCTGAGGCTAATTAAGTGGTGTAACTCCTCCACATCTCTGGTGGTAGAAAGCAAACCAGGCCACACTCCAACAAACCTTTTTGAGTTTTCAACATTGTCATTTAGACACCCTCAACTATCACAGAAAGAAAAAAGAAATGCATGATGTTTTTATGCATGGGCAAATTACTACTATTAAAAATTAATAACCATGACAGGACATTCTAAGTAGCAAAGCTAACAGTGGAAGCTACTACCATCCTTGGTAGCACATTGGGAGCAAGAGCGAAGCAAATGCCTGAATGAAGTGAACTAAGCCAGCTCACCACAGCCCAGCACTGCAAACAAACGAGTTTATAGTATACACTTTCATTTGTATGAATGAGCAGGAAAATTCCTAAAATCTTTAGCAAAAATTATAGTAATTAAACAACTCTTTTGATAAGCATTTGATTAAGAATCTTAGATATTCCTGAAAGAGTTGTATTCTAGTTCAAATAAAAGAATTTAGGAGCCTAGAGGCTTATTGTACTGCCTGATTTTTACTCAGGGCTCAACCCAGTTTCAACCCCACTTAATTTCTATCACATGAAAGCCCTTAATTAGACTCTTTGCTAGCTGAATAAATCCTAACTCTGCAATGACTTCAGTGGTTTAAGTACTTCCATGGTAGTCTTAGGCCAAGGCTGTGATATGTTGCAGAAAGTGTCTGAGGACGACGAAAAAATAAAATAACTAATCTCTAAATAATCCTTTGAGCTTTGTGTAATAAAAGTATCAGTCTCAAAAGAGGGAGTCTCCCCTTCCTTCTAAAGGGCATTAAGGAATACTCAATGCTCAGCACATTCTGAAGTAGAGAGTGTTATTCTTGTCACAAAGCTCTAAATGGAAGAGACCCAACAATGCCATCAGGAAAAGCCTCTGGAATTATTCATAACAGTAAAATTATGACCAATTTATGGCCCTAGGATGTGAATTGAAAAGAAACCTTTAAGACCATCTAGAAGAAATGGCTTGCAAATTCATTTGCAATCAATTTTACGTCACAACATACTGTTCACATATATGTATAAACTGAAACTGGTTTCACAAAATACCCTTATAACATGCTATATCTTTTCCTATTTCATTAAAAAAAAAAAAAGCTGACTGTGACCCATTAAGTTTCCACTACCCATTAATTGACCATAACCTAGAGTTTAAAAAAGTTCTGATAGACTATTAATGCCTTAAGCCCCACCCCCTGCAAAAGACAACAGTACAGCAGTTAAGAGTACCAACTTTAAAGTAGGATTGCCCAGGTTCAAATCCTGGTATCGCCACTTACACTTGGCTACGACACCCAAGTCCTAGTACATGTTACCAACTTCTGTGCCTCAGTTTCCCCCCATAAGACACCTACTTCTAAACTTTGTTACGAAATTGTATTATTTTTTGTATTAATTGTTGTATTTGTGAAGATGCTTAAAAACAGTGCCTACTGAGTTGATAAGCAAAGATGCTGGCCCAAGACCACATGTAGCTAAGCCAGTTAGTGGGAAGCTTGGCCTAAAACCCTGGCTCATGGCCTTTCCACCATACTGAAGCATTGAGCATAGGATCAATACTGATTATATAAGGACCTTCAGTGTAAAGCATATAAAATAAATTTGACAAGTAATGCTGGGCAATAAATGCTTATATCCTTACTTTCTAAAGATTACAGGGCCCACACCTTTAAAAAAAGACTTGGTAGAGAAATATGCACTAAAGCTTTTATTTTCTAAATCTGAGTGACAAGGAGAAATTAAATAATTTTCACTGAAAATTCTTTTCAATTTAGCCAGCAGAGAATAATCGAGATTTGGAGGTATTTGATTCTGGTTCTTTCGTCTAGTTTTAGGCCAAACATCAACTAGTTGCTGTGACCTCAGGAAAGTTTTTTGATCTCTTTGGACTTGTTTCCATAACCACAGGACAAGGTTTAGGTCCAACATGCCCCAACATTCTTTGAACTTCTTTTGAGGTTCTTCCCAGAGGGCAAAACTGACAGACTAAGGTAGAAGTCAAGGAAGAGAAAAAGAAAAACAAAACACCTGCAGTAGGCAACAAAGGCATAGAAATGAATTTGGTAGGGTACCTGAGTTCAAACTCTAGGTCTGCCACTTAACAGACATAACTTTGGGCAAACGATTTCATTTTTTTCTGATCAGATGTTCTATCAGTTAAGGGCACCTGAGAGGACTTATACATGAATGTACATAGCACATGACCAGGCACCAGAATGAATTCAATCAATGGTTGAATGGCTGGTTCTCTATAATTAAAATAAAACGGCTAGAATGTTCATAGATATGCTCAAGGTGTTATAATTTTAAACTGAAGAGAGGGAAATCTCCAGCTTTTCTCTCTGGGTAGTTATTATTACTTATCCCCTTTAAGGCATTAGCTCTGAAGGCATGGCCAATTTTTTTTCTTTTGCAGCTGGCCAGTACAGGGTAGAGCCATTTTATTTTATTTTATTTATTTATTTAAAGATGACCAGTAAGGGGATCTTAACCCTTGACTTGGTGCTGTCAGCACCACGCTCTCCCAAGTGACCTAACCGGCCATCACTATAGAGGGATCCAAACCTGTGGCCTTGGTGTTATCAGCAGCACACTCTCCCAAGTGAGCCACGGGCAAGCCCAGGGTATAGCCATTTTAAAGTGAAGGGTAGTTAAGCAGCAAATGGCAGGTTTGCTCCAAATTGGACTTCGTAGTAATGATCTTCATATCATCAGCACCACCCTTAAGTACCTACTAAATGGATCAAAAAAGGTTATCTTGGTACGTTTATATCAGTACTTAATTGTAATGTCCTCAAAATTTGATAGTAATATACATTATTTACATAAACTCTCCTTTAGCTAAATAATTCTAATTCCAGAGAAGTCAAACCAGACCAAATACAAATTACATATAGGAAGATGATAAAGATACACCACAGAATAAAACATACAAAATAATTGCCTTCATCAGTTTAAAGTGAAAATCTTTATTTTTTGTTTTTGTTTCTGTGGCTGGCCAGGAATGGGCTCCAAACCCTTAACCTTGTAAAGTTAAAGTCTTACTAAACCATAAATGGCGAAGTTAAGTATTATAAGATGACACTTACCTACAATCAGAATAAAATCAGACTCATAATAGGACAAAAAGTCACACAACTGTGCCTAATAGGCCCGTCAATATTTCTGAATGAATCTGATTGGATCAACTGCTCAAAAATCAGTCCATTTAAAAAAAGTGACTAGAATTCTGATCTTCTGCAATTATTTTACTCTTTAGCTAGATTTTTACACATCTTTAAATGGCCTTCCTAATATTTTTCACTATTTTAAAAAACAAAGTAAGTCTCTAAAAGTAACTGGCAAGTATTTTAAGTTGTAGACATATGAATGTATACCACACCAGCCTCATCAAAAGAAAACTAAACTTTGTCAATTTAAGATGAACAAATCATTGCTGAATATACAGTATGTTGAAACAGAAATCCCTATGCTTCTATTTTAGATAGTCACTGTTAGAATGTACCGCCCCCCCCAATTATTTTAAGTTATTAAAACCTAAATGCTATTTTATGTATTTTTATTTTTTGATGGCTGGATGGTAAGGATATCTGAACCCTTGACCTTAGTGTTACAACACCTCACTCTAACCGAGCTAAAAGGCCAGCCCCACTAAATGCCATTTTAAAGGAAAAACTGCCAAATAAGTCATAACTACAAAACAGGTGCAACATTTAAATTTCTGACCTATCTTAGAAAGTAATCTAAAAAGTTAAAAGAGAAAACTCAAATATGGCTTTAAATCTTCCCCTCACCCCACAACTTTATTTACTTACACTCTTTCCTCCGAGGAATGGTGTCGTCTCCTACTGAGTTCTTAGCAGTATTCTATAAATATCCTCTTCATCTAGTGCAAGGAGGCCCAAAAGTCACAATCACATAATTAGCTTTTCTAGATTTAAAATGTTCACTTTATTCCATATAACACGTAACCAGATATCATTTACATCTGAGGAAGAGATGGCCCATGAGACTGATCTATGGTAGAACATTCTAAGAAATATAGTCCAATTTTATACATTTCCAGGCATCCCTAGAGAAGTGTATCACAATGCAGAAATTGGGGTATCATGACTACATTTTACATAAGATAAAAGGGAAGTATCAATAAACTTCAGAAAGTAGTAAATTCACCTGTCCCTTAAAATATGGGTATGCAATTGTTACAAAGCCATAGTAAATGGTTTATAAAATGTAATTTTATTTTATGTTACTCTGCTGTTACATAGGGCATAACATTTTCACAAGGCTTTTTTGGGACTACAGTCAATGATTAGCAACACACAATAGTGGTCCAACTCTCTAAATAACAATCACTAGACAAACTGGACACCCTCTCACATGTGCACAAATCTGCATGGAAAAGTACTAAAGTTTTAGACTTGGACTTGTGTACTTTAATTTATTTCCCCTTTCTAGTGTATTAAGAAATGACATGCACTTTAATTTGCCAAAAGCAATGCTGTAGTCTGGCAGCAACATGCTACTTCTATTACACAGTGAAGTGAATACCAGAATTACAAAGGCAGGAGGTGTTAAGTGAATTTTTATTGGGAAGGGAAGTTGTCAACTTAAACAGCAGCAAATGAACAGTGAATAAGAAAACTCCCTGTTGTCACAGATATACATAACCTCCACAATATGATATAGGAGGCATTTTAATTTGTGACCCCCAGCCCAGAAATGTCAANAAAGTACTAAAGTTTTAGACTTGGACTTGTGTACTTTAATTTATTTCCCCTTTCTAGTGTATTAAGAAATGACATGCACTTTAATTTGCCAAAAGCAATGCTGTAGTCTGGCAGCAACATGCTACTTCTATTACACAGTGAAGTGAATACCAGAATTACAAAGGCAGGAGGTGTTAAGTGAATTTTTATTGGGAAGGGAAGTTGTCAACTTAAACAGCAGCAAATGAACAGTGAATAAGAAAACTCCCTGTTGTCACAGATATACATAACCTCCACAATATGATATAGGAGGCATTTTAATTTGTGACCCCCAGCCCAGAAATGTCAAGTGCTTTTCCATTCAATCTAATACTTCTGGATTCCTACTGAAAAGGAATACATCAAGAGCATGGAAAAGTTGCTTACTGAAAGGAAACCCCCAAAGAAGAGAGAAAGAGGGAATGTAGAAATTAAGGAGTTATGCAGAACACTCTTTAAATTGTAATTAACTACGTTTTCATATCTTCACAGTAATACAAAACACAGTCACTTGCAGAACTGGTTCAGATTACTTAAATACCAGGTAATTTTAGTACTCTACAAAGTGTTCGGAAGTTACTTATGTTTATATGAAATGATGCTATTAATACTTTTCTACAGCAGTAACTGCACATCAGGAAGGCCAAGACAAACAAATCAAGGAATGGAGTTTTCCCAAAGCTGCAGTGTGAAAAAGACTATAAACAGTTGATTCCATACACATGAGTGGGTTTCTTTGCTATAGGAAATCCAACTGGAGTAAGGAATGGAGATGTGTAAAAAGGTTTCTTGAAGGAAAGAAAGATGACACCCTGTATGCATTTAGTTTTCGGCCCCTTCTGCTGCATCACATTCTTCTCCTGCACTGTCTGATGTCCATAACTAGAAAAAGAAGAGTCATATTAAGTCACTATTTCTAGATTAGACAATTATATCAAGTTCTGTTATAACAAAATGTAATGCTGAAAGCAGTAAATTCCTCAAACAAGAGATTTTTGACTAAGACTCTCTCAAAACCCCAAAGACCATCAACCCTCCCAAAGTGTATCCTTGAAAACCTTTCACTATGCATTTATAAAATGATACACACATATATACTATTTGAGTACATTTTTATAGCTTATTTTTTTATATATAAAAAGTACTATAATTTCGGAAAAAACATGGTGACATCTTTAGAATTTAAGGCTCTGTCCATTCCCAGCAGCCCAATGCCCAATGACCCCCCCCCCCTTTCTTAAGAATAATTCTGCCAAACTTTTTTAAAAAAAATTTTTGGCAGCTGGCCAGTATGGGATTCCGAACCCTTGACCTTGGTGTTATAGCATCATGCTCTAACCAACCAATGCCCTTCTTGAAAGCTCTACTGAAATATAACTTGAGACTAATAAGGCAAAACATTTTTTTTAAAGAGAGGGGAAAATCATGGTCATGATAACTGTTTCCAAGTTTGTGAAGAGCTAACATATAGAAAAAGAAGTAGACTTATTTTGTGTTCCTCCAAAGAGTTCAACAGGAGTGGGTGATGGAAGCTCTAGGGAAGCAGCATGTACGCATGGATTTGTATAGAAAGCCTTCTTGAAGGCTTCTGATCTCACTAATTTTAGTATGGAATGATGAAGTAAAGTAAAGGAAACAGTCAATATTACTGACTATAATCAGCTCCAAAAATGGATTTTATTTAGA